CCAATATGATATGGACCGCTCTGTATGTGGTATATGGACTCTTTGTAAAATTCCAAGCACGCTCCGAGCACTCAAACTTTGCAATTTTGATTTCGCCGAACTGTTCCTGATGAATTTCGAGAATTGCAATACGCGCACAGGCTTTTAAATAAACTGCACTCTGCCTTAGTATAGGCCTTAAGCATAAGTTACTACGAGGAAATGAAATGAGGAAGAAATAAAAGCAATATTTTTTGTTCTTTTCTACCTCAACTAGAATTTAATGCTTTAAATAAAGGAATAAAGCTGTTTTAAACAAATGGAAAAGATACATGTGTGTATTTTTTCACTTCTGGACCAGTTTACACACTTCTGATCCTTCTAATTTTTCAAAATTATTTAACGATTAAATCTTTAACCCTATTCCTGCTGGGGGGGGGGGGGCAATTTGACCCCCCCCTGTAGTTTTTTTACATAACTCAAAAAGTATTGGTCTGAGGCTGTTGAAATTTTCTGACTTTTCTTACATACCCATAGCCCTCCCTTTAGGCCTAAAACAGGGCTTTAATACTAACTGCCTGAGTCCTCAGGCACACTGCCTGAATGACTGCTTTTTCCTGTAACAAACTAAATCTTTGTTTTGACCCACTTTCACTAGTCAGATTTTGATAAAATTTAGCTTTTTGGAAAGCCTTTGACAAAAGGAAACAAATTGCACAAGTTTTGCGAAAAAAAATTGCAAATTTTTTGCAAACAACCTGTCAAAGGAAATTTGCACATTTTTAGTTTTTCTTGATTAAAAATCAGGTTATTTAAAATTTTGCAAAATTTTTTGCATATTTAAAATGGCATGGTCAAGGGCTTTTCAAAAATGTATAATTTTTCATTTTTTTGACAAATTTTTTTTGCACACATTTTTACTATATAACTGGATTTTGCGATAAAAAATTCAATTTTTGCAAATTTGCAAATTTTTTTGCAGATTCTAAAAGTAGAGCACAAGAGCTTTCTAATGATGTATCATTTGTCATATTTGGACATACAACATGGGATTTAGAGGGGGGGGTCAAATTGACCCCCCCCCAGCATATCCTGGTTTTCAAGTACCCCAGCAGAGATAGGGTTAAGCTGCCCTTGTGCAGCAACCTTGACAATTTTAAGCATAGTCTTCAACGGTACCATTGAAACCTATATTCCGATCAAAAATGTGGTGTTTAATTCAGATTAGTTTTCCATCGCTTCTTATAGGCAAGCCACTTTATAGCAGAGAAATATCAAATGAAAATAAACGGTTTAAAGAAACAAAATCATGGATATATAGTTAATGCTTGATCTGACAAATTGTTCAAGGATACCGTTGTAAATGAGGCATTGCTATCTGTGCATGAAGGGTCACTTGAAATTACGCTTACAATCCCTTTAAGTGAAAAATTAAGACTTTCCATGCGGGTTGACGAAATTGTTTAATTTTTGTGTGGTCCTATAATTCACTTCAAGAGTTTGTCGAGAGGTTGCTGCAGAAACGTAGTTTTGTACCTGTCTACTTTACCAAATAAAGATTGAAGAGTAAGTATGAAGGGGATGGAACTGGATGAACAGGAACGTTCTTTTCTCCGTTCCATACCAGCTCCGGTTTCAAACCTAACCAGATACTGAGTATTAAGTAAACTTTATCCTCTGTTTATTTCTATTTATAATGCGGACGTTAGGCTGCATGCATATTGTTAAGTTATTTTGTTCTCTAAAGATTTAGCTTAAACTGTTTGACTGACTAATTTAATAATATTTTCTTAATCCGTCCTTTCTTAACGACCATTCACCTAGTACAAAATATGTAAATCTTTCAGCTGTCCAAGTATGTATATTATATATCTATATTACTGTCCTAAAATATTTAAATATTTAAACTACCCTGTAGTATGAAGAAATCTATAAACTACCCTACTATATACAAATCTTTAAACTACCCTACTATATACAAATCTTTAAACTACCCTACTATATATTAATCTTTAAACTACCCTACTATATACAAATCTATAAACTACCCTAGTATATACAAATCTATAAACTACCCTAGTATTTACAAATCTTTAAACTACCCTAGTATATACAAATCTATAAACTACCCTAGTATATACAAATCTTTAAACTACCCTTATAGTATATACAAATCTTTAAACTATTCTATTAAATACAAATCTATAAACTACTCCAGTATATACAAATCTTTAAACTACTCTATATATATACAAATCTTTAAACTACCCTGATATATAAAAATCTTTAAACTACCCTACTATATACAAATCTTTAAACTACCCTACTATATACAAATCTTTAAACTACCCTGATATATACAAATCTTTAAAGTACTCTAGTATATACAAATCTTTAAACTACCCTACTATATACAAATTTTTAAACTACTCTATTATATACAAATCTTTAAACTACTCTATTATATAAAAATCTTTAAACTACTCTAGTAAAAATAAATCTTTAAACCACCCTACTATATACAAATCTTTAAACTACCCTACTATATACAAATCTTTAAACTACCCTACTATATACAAATCTTAAAACTACTCTAGTATATACAAATCTTTAAACTACTCTATAGTATATACAAATCTTTAAACTGCTCTACCATTTACAAATCTTTAAACTACTCTAGTATATACAACTTTAAACTGCCCTATATTATAAACTGCTCTACCATTTACAAATCTTTAAACTACCCTACTATATGCAAATCTTTAAACTACACTAGTATATACAAATCTTTAAACTACACTAATATATACAAATATTTTAACTTTTCTAGTTTATACAAATCTTTAAACTACCCTATAGTATAAACAAATCTTTAAACTGCTCTACCATTTACAAATCTTTAAACTACCCTAGTATACAAATCTTAAACTTGCTATAGTTTTTATAAATATACATTTGCTGTGCTGTAATATATTCTGTTTATGCAAAAAAATGCATACTGTAAAACTCTTTTTTTCGAGTCATTAGTTTAAACAACATGCATTTTGCAGTTTAATCGGAGTGGAAGAATTAAGATTAAAATTCTTCAAATCGTCTAGAAAACCTTAAAAACATTTGTCATTATTTTAATAAATTACTTTTCAAGAAAACTTCAAGGATGAAATTTTTTAACTGGAAAAAATAAAGCTTTCACTTTTTGTATTTTTACAGGTTTTCATTCAATTTGCTATAAAATTAAATTTTATAAGAAAACAAATGTATTTGAAAAAACATCATAGTAGGCGATTATATCAAATTAATACAATGAAGACGACCTTTTTACTTAAGTTTTGATTGTTAAACAAGCTTTTTTCGAATTACAAGTTTCCAAGTAATCAAAGCTTTTAATTGACAGTTTCTCTTGACTTCTAGGTTTATATGTATCCATGCTGTTTAACAGCTTTATACAAATCAAAGTTTAAATCAAAAGTCGTCTTCATTGTATTGAATGAATGTATAAAAGCTCTTCTGTAAAGTTTTTTTTAAGGCTCGACGAGTGTTCTCAAAACTTATTTTGTAAACAAACAAACAAAATCTTTTAACATAATTAAAACTTTTCTTCTTTAAGTTTTCTGTCCTTCATGGTGAAGAAAAAACGTGAAAAGTTGGAATGAAAGGGTCCCTCTAGTTGATATTAAAAACTCTTTTATTAGTTGATATTTAAGGGATCCTTTCTAGTTGATATTGAAGGGATCCTTTCTAGTTGATATTGAAGGGATCCTTTCAAGTTGATATTGAAGGGATGCTCCCTAGTTAATTTTAAAGGGATGCTCACTAGTTGATATTGAAGGGATCCTCCCCAGTAGATATTGAAGGGATCCTCCCTAGTTGATATTAAAGGGATCCTCCCTAGTTGATATTGAAGGGATCCTCCCTAGTTGATATTGAAGGGATCCTCCCTAGTTGATATTCAAGGGATCCTCCCTAGTTGATATTCAAGGGATCCTCCCTAGTTGATATTGAAGGGATCCTCCCTAGTTGATATTAAAGGGATCCTCCCTAGTTTATATCGAAGGGATCCTCCCTAGTTAATATTGAAGGGTTCCTCCATAGTTGATATTAAAGGGATACTCCTTAGTTGATATTGAAGGGATGTTCCCTAGTTGATATTGAAGGGATGTTCCCTGGCTTTATATTGAAGGGATCCTCCCTAGTTGATTTTGAAGGGATCCTCCTTAGTTGATATTGAAGGGATCATCCTCAGTTGATATTGAAGGGATGTTCCCTGGCTTATATTGAAGGGATCCTCCATAGCTGGTAATGAAGGGATCCTCCATAGCTGATATTGAAGGGATCCTCCATAGCTGATAATGAAGGGATCCTCCATAGCTGATATTAAAGGGATCCTCCATGATCCTCCATAGCTGATATTGAAGGGATCCTCCATAGCTGATAATGAAGGGATCCTCCATAGCTGATATTGAAGGGATCCTCCATAGCTGATAATGAAGGGATCCTCCATAGCTGATATTAAAGGGATCCTCTCTAGCTGATATTGAAGGGATCCTCCATAGCTGATAATGAAGGGATCCTCCATAGCTGATATTGAAGGGATCCTCCCTAGGTGATAATGAAGGGATCCTCCCAAGCTGATATTAAAGGGATCCTCCATAGCTGATAATGAAAGGATCCTCCATAGCTGATATTAAAGGGGATCCTCCCTAGCTGATATTGAAGGGATCCTCCATAGCTGATATTGAAGGGATCCTCCATAGCTGATAAAAGGGATCCTCCATAGCTGATAATGAAGGGATCCTCCATAGCTGATATTGAAGGGATCCTCCCTAGTTGATATTGAAGGGATCCTCCATAGCTGATATTAAAAGGATCCTCCCTAGCTGATATTGAAAGGATCCTCCATAGCTGATATTAAAGGGATCCTACCAAATGAACTGTGAAGGATCCTGTGAATCGGATAATTATGCAATTTAAAAAAAAATAGTACAATACAGATTTATGTTTATTGAAATTAATTAAACATGTCTAAATTTGAAATTTATTTTCTTATCTATGCACAATACAAATGCAGGATAGAATGTATAGAGAAATATTAGTTTAAACTATTCAAAAATATTTCAAACTAATAGAAACTATTTTAAGCTAGTTCAAGCTATATTTTAAACTGTCAGCAGAGATATCCTGACATCTAGGATAGCCAAGAATGAATGCCATCTCTCTGCAAAACTATTTGATAAAAGTGTAAGGCAAGAAACTAGTAAAGTTTACATTATAAAAATTTGTCTGGCTTTCAACCAATTTGGAGGCAAAAGTTGACAATTTAGTGTTTACCATCCATTAAGTATTTAAATTAAAAACAAACAGAGTTAGTAAACCTCATGCATCCACTTTCAGTGGAAGTATTTGGTGGAAATATCACAGAATCAAGCCAGGTTTAAGGCATTAAAGGTTTGCCACATAGAATAGAATGAAATTTTCCCACTTCAGTTTACAAGAAAATAAAGGTTTGCCACAAGTTTTACCATAAAAAAAAGGTTTGCCACATTTTTTTAACAATAAAGGACCGACTGCCCTTTAAACAAATCCATCTGAAGTATGACTAATAAAGTTTTTTTTTACAAGCTTTGTTCCGAAATGTTTGGAGAAAAATGTCACTAAACGGAATGATTAATAATGTACCATGTCACCTAACATTTCAAGAACTAATTGCCATTGTTTGATTCAGATAGATTTCAAAATCACTGAAATGGTTTTAAGTTTAATGAGCTGAATTTTGTTTATCGTCTGACTAGACTGTACTGTTCCTGTACGGGCTGTATTATGATTCTTGACGGTTTTATGCTGCTCTAAACTGTTTGTACTAAACTAATACCTCTTTAATAAGTACATTTACTGAAGAGCATGGGTCTGAACGAGCAGTGAAGTGTGTTCAATGTTCATATTCAGAAGAATACTTCAATTCTCGGAGAAATTTTCCTTCATTGTTGATTCAGTGTCTAGCGTAGGATAATGTTAAAGGACGATATTCCTGATCACCATCCTCATATCCTAGTTCTCCTAGTCCTCCAGGTCCTCCCGGACCTCCTGTTTCTCCTGGTTCCCCGGAACCCCGGTACTCCAGGTTTCTATGAGTAGAATAGTTAGCATGGTAGGATGGAGGAGGATGGAGAAGACTGGGTCCTAAGTCTCCAGGGGATTGCGGGGATCGAGATGGACGTGATGAGACCGGATCTCTATAAAAATACATTATCCCACCCGGATAGTCTGCTCGGTGGAACCGGTTTCCCGCATCTCCCGGCCGAATCCCGTGATCCGGGAACCGGAGTATTGGCTCTATAATCCGGTTGCATGAATCTCCTGACCGGATGAGCTGTTCTCCGATCCGGTTTATTTTGGTGGCAGAGCAGGTCGGAGATTCAACATGATCCCGGACTTGGCAGTACGTTTCCTCAGTACCTGTAAATAAGAACAATTATACTTGTATTGTAAATACTAATTTTTGTATTTCAGAAACATTCAGGGTGTCCCACGAAACACGACAGTAGCAAGACGAATTGAATGTCGTCTTTGATCTTGAAAATCAAATGCGTCTTTTAGTTGTAAACCTCATTTTAGAAGTAAAATTCTAGATTTAATAATCCCAAAATATCCCTAGTCTTGACATTTCCAAAATGTGGTCTGCCTTTTTTATTCTTTCAACATACCGGAGATATGAAATATTTCGTTGACGTTCAGAATTCGACAATTTTGGTTTTGTTTGATAAAAAAAAACTAAATATGAACGAAATTCTTAATATCTCCGGTAATATTTTGGAAATGCCAGAACTAAGAGAATATGGTAGTATAATGCCACAAATAAATAAATTCATAGTTCAAAGACGACTTTCAAGTTGTTTTGTTACAATCATGTTTCGTGGACCACCCTGTAATTAAAGGGACTGTCAACGTAAACTAAAGGGACCGTCAACGTTAATTAAAGGGACTGTCAACGTAAACTAAAGGCACTGTCAATGTAAACTAATGGGATTGTCAATGTAAACTAAAGGGACTGTCAATGTAAACGACAGTCCCTTAGGATACTACAGAGAGAAGACTAGGAGAGGGTCTGTCTAAACTTTGAACCTTGATGATAACTCTTGACATCCCTTTCCTTCACAATCTCCTTCCATCCCTCATTTAATCCCTTTAATAAATTTCTGCCACCAGACTTAGCACCAACTTTCACCCCACTAAGCCCCCCCCCCTCTCCTATTCTTCTCTTGGCATTTACAGTTTATATTTCCCCCTTCCCTTTAATGTATTTTCTTCTCTTGGCATTTACAGTTTATATTTCCCTCTTCCCTTTTATGTATTTTCTTCTCTAGACATTTACAGTTTATATTTCCCTCTTCCCTTTTATGCATTTTCTTCTCTAGACATTTACAGTTTATATTTCCCTCTTCCCTTTTATGTATTTTCTTCTCTAGACATTTACAGTTTTTATTTCCATCTTCCCTTTAATGTATTTTCTTCTCTAGACATTTACAGTTTATATTTCCATCTTCCCTTTAAGGTATTCTTCTCTAGACATTTACAGTTTAGATTTCATTCGTTTTTTTCTTTTTTATGCTTTTTGATACTAGATTAATCTGTTAAAATGTATTCAACATTTTTGTCCTCTGATAGGAACTAAGTTCTTTTTACAAACTCTGATTTTTTAATCCTTATATCTTTGTAATCCAATAGCATAGACCATTAATATTTAAACCCATGAATTCTGATAGATCAATTAATTTTAGCTTGAAATGTTAAAGATTTACACCATCAAGTTGCAAAGATATTAGGATCAGATAATTTGAGTGTGTGGCGATGCTATACTTACACCAACATTTTGGTAAAATGAATTTATTTTAATGAAAATGTGCAATTTACCGAGCAAAATACAATTCTAAATTGAAAACAGAAAACGTTGAATTTAGTTTTATTTCTAATTTCCCACAGTATTCAAGTGTAAAAACCATCATTAGAACAAATTTGAAGAAAATTGCATATTTTCTTCTTTCGTAGCATATTTTTTCTGAAGTCTACATTTTCACCTTAAGAGGGATTAACAAAGGAACTGAACCCTTGAACAAATTCTAATTTTTTAATCCTGAAATCTTTGTATCCTGGTGTCAAATTTTTATTTTTATTTTGATATTCCCCATTTTTATATAATGTATTAATGCATACTTTTCAAAATTCTTCCCATTGAGTATTTTGTGAGGCGGATTATTTATTGTTATTGTTTATGTTCTACGTTTTATACATCTATAAATCAGTTTAGTTTACGACTTTTGCACCCTTTTCTAATCTGGGAGAAAGAACAGAAAATTAATGTTTTTTATGTTTTATATGGGAAATAGATTTTATCAGAGGTTCAGCAAACTTGATAAGATGGGGGTTTCTGCAAAATATATATACATATTTTTGTATATTTAATTTGTATAAAGGATATTTTTTGTAAACTTCATAAAAATACAGGGTGAGTTTTTTAAATTTATTTTTATAAGAACCCTTTTTTCAGCAGAATTATTCCCCTTTTTCTTTCTAATCGTCCTCTTGCTTACAGAAGATATTTGACATGAATATTCGGGAGAAAATTGGCCAAGTGACTTGAAGAGGGAAACTCATTGACAGCCAAATGTCTCAAGTATAATGGAAAAATTTTTCAAACATTTGCATTTTTTAAATAATACAAGTTTATGTAAATATATTTTGATCACTAATACAAATAGTTTCTAGGCTGAGATATTTTTATTAAAAAACTATGGTCACCATGGTCAGGGTTTAGAAACAAAAAGTGTTCAGAAAATGTTCAAAATGTTAAGAATTAAAAAAGTGATCACTTTCTATAAAGCAATCAGAAAAGCATGTTGAAGGTATAATAATGTGTGGGGGGGAGTGGTTGTTCATAAATGTGGGGTGGAGGATAGATGAGTAATGAACGTATGCTGGGAAAATGTTAAAGGTATAATAATGTGTGGGGGGGGGGGAGGTTGTTCATAAATGTGGGGTGAAGGGGTGGAGGATAGTTGAGTAATGAACGTATGCTGGGAAGATGTTAAAGGAAAGGGAGGGTTGAGAAAGTTTAAATTATTTCCTGTAATTTAAACTTTAATGTAAGCTCTGGAATTGAAATAGGAGAATATAGAAGAGAATATTATTTGCTAAAACTACTTAAACATTTTAAACTAAACAAAGGAGCAGAAGGGAATTCAATTATTATTGTTTATAGATATATTTTCTTAGATGTTCTATCTATCTATCAATCCTTTTATGTTCTCTGTATTTTTTCATTTCAACATTATATGAGGAATTAACTGATTGTAATTTCTAATCTCAAAAAAAAGACATGTTGATATTTCAAATGAAGTACAATAAGGAGGCCTATAAATTGTTCATAGTAAGATTTTTAATATTTTGAATTCTTCGGATTTTCTGTTATAATCAGTGATTGCTTTAATGAACTGTAGATGTAACTTTAAGTAACCCAAGTTTTCTCTCCAACAGAAATCTACCAATTACTATTGAAGAGATACCACAATTAAAATTTATTAATTCTCAGCAGAAAAAAATGGATTTCTCATTAATACTTGATCCGACAAATTGTTAAAGGGCACATTGAACATAACAATTTTATCGTAGGTTCAAGTAACAACGAATAAACTCCTTGTTGTTTAATTTTTGTTTCATGTAAAGATACTTAGTAATATTTCTTTATTTGTGTCTTGATATCTCTTTAATCTAAATTTATCATCTAAAACATGGCACCTAACCTACATACATTTAAAACAAGAATTATTTATTGCACCAACAAGATGATAATTTTATTCAAAAGTTTGAACATTGTGCTATATATTTTCCTTTTTAGAATTCGCCAGCTTTTCAGGGCAGATTTAATGTCCCAAAAAGCGATTAAATGTTTGCCAAAATGGATGCAACATTGTAGCTTTAGCAATCCTACAGAATACAAACACATCATCCAAGTAAAATGCAAAAACAGAATTCAAAATAAATTCTTTCATTTACCTTTACTGTCAATTGATCATTCTCTAAAAAAAATCCTTTCCTTAATCTTTTAATCTTTGTTTTATATTTTTGCCCTTGATCCTTTCCTAAATCCTTCAATTTCTGACTCACTTTTGATCCTTAAATCTTTGCTAATATTTGCGGTTTCTGATTGGTTCTATTCTATGGATATCTAATAAGAATTAACCTTATCTTTCGGACTTTTTGAGATACGGATTAATCATTTCTGAATGGATTAAGCATAGCAAGTTCCGACCTCAGGTCTGAAAACTTTAGAATGGGATATCCTTAATCCCGGTCAGTTAATTAATCTGGAGATTAATAACAAGAGAAGAACAAGTGTTATTTAATCTGGAGATTAAGAAAAAGAGTGGATCAAGCATTATTCCCGATATCCACCATCTTAATCTTTCTCTTTTTCTTAATCTCAAGATTAAATAATTCTTGTTCTCCTCTTGTTATTAATCTCCAGATTTATTAACTGATCGGGATTAAGGATATCCCATTCTAAAGTTTTCAGCTAAGGTCCTTTAACTTTTGGCTTAATCCTAGATTTGCTGTCCCATAATCCATTCCACAATCCTTCTTGACTCTTTAAACTATGGTTATCAAGGTTCGTAAATAAAATATTTCAGGTTTTGTCAAATCCTGATTGTAAACCCTGCACTGCAGATCTAAACTTGTATTGTAATGCATATTTCCTCTTATTAAAATTATATTTTAGGATTTCATATTTGAGAATTTCCCGGATTTCAATTTGAGTTTAGAGAGTTGGGGCCGACATGGGGAGAAGTGGGAGTTCAACTTTAAACTTTAAACTTCCATGAAAATGACTCTAAAGTGTAAACTTGGAATCTTTCTACTTCTCAAGTTATTTGTCTTGATGGACTCGTTTATATCAAAGGGTTTTCTGTATTTATTTAAGAGAAAAATAAATCAAGTTTGCGCTTTATGGACAAATCAAACATCAGTAAGCATTATTGAAGCGCGGGAATTTTAATTTCTACATATTAAAATATGTGGGAGGGGGGGGGGGGGGGGGGCGTAGAATGGGAGATGGGCTAAGGGGTCAGGATATTTTTGTGGATTCCTTATTAACTTCAAATAGTCTTGTTTAATTAATTACAACGAACCTAAACCTTTTTTTCTAACTTTTCTTAAAATATTAAAAATATTGAATAGATAAGTTTTTAGAATCAGATCCGTATATAAAGTTTTGACATATTTTAGACCTGAAGTTCTCTGATAAAATAGAAAATGTAAAATTTAAACCCAGATTTTATTTCTACTGTTTGCGGACAAGGGGTAAATTTTTACTTCATCTAATGAATAAAATTTTAAATTTTATTTGAAAAATCATTTTCTTTTATTTTTTTATTCATCAATTTTGGTTCAAACATTCAATTTTCATAAAATGATTACATTTTGAATAAAATAGAATGATTATGGTGCATTCATTCACCAGTGTTCGAATAAATATTTTAGCATAAAAAGGAGGAAGAGGAGGGGGGTAGAGCAAATATAATGCATCAACGGTGTTTAAAATTTTTTTGATGGATGTCTTGATCTTTTAATTTTTTTTATATATAATCAAAGTTTCTGATAAAAAAAAACTTTTACTTCAGGCCTAGATAATGTGTGTAACAGAGTTTGCGAAAAATGCAAGTTTGGGATTGAATATTTTGGAGGGATTTCTGGAATTTGGAGAGCTGTTTAAATCTGTTAAAATGTAGTGTATTGTATAGTGTTTGCAACCCAGGGTGTTTATTCTACTTGATTAAATTCCATGATGCGATAAACCATTCCATAAACACTAATTAACGCACTAATTAATTAGATTCTATTTTAATTATATTGACAGTATTTCAGGGGGCTTACCGCGGACCCTGACCTTCCGGCCTTCCCCCTCCCACATAAATTTGTCTAATGTTTACTTTTTTGATTGCGCAAATACAAATATGTTTGTGCGATTGGTAAAATAAACTGTAAAGTCTTTAATATCTAATACAGTATGTGGAATGTCTTCAAAACTATTCACAAATTGTCATGTTTCGTGGGACACCCTGTACATGAACTACCTGAACTATCTGAACTATCTGAATTACCTGAACTATCTGAATTACCTGAACTACCAGAACTACCTGAACTATCTGAACTACCTGAACTACCTGAACTACCTGAACTACCTGAACTACCTTAACTACCTGAACTACCTGAAATACCTAAACTACCTTAACTACCTGAACTACCTGAAATACCTGAACTTCCTGAATTACCTGAACTACCTGAACTACCTGAACTACCTGAACTACCTGAACTACCTGAACTACCTGAACTACCTGAACTACTTGAACTACCTGAACTACCTAAACTACCTCGACTACCTGAACTACTTGAACTACCTGTGGACGATGTACTTCTGAACTGTTTGTCTCGACACACCCGCCTACAGTTTACATCATCAACAAAAAATCAAAAAGATAATAAATAAAGATTTAGTTTTAGAAGTTGAAAGCAATTAAATATTTATCAAAGTTAATAAGACTATCTTTAAAGTTTAAACTTTTTCCCCCATCTTTGATCTTCAATATAAATTTTCAACATATTATGTGTTGAACTTTTTATTAAACTCATAGTTTAAAGAAAAAATATCTCTCTTTTGTTTTTAATCTCTTTTTAGAAAATGAAATATTTCCTACTTCTAGCTCGGTTAAAGTCAAATATTCAAAATATTTGAAATTGCAAAATGTCAAAGAATCAGATTTGCTGCGAGTAGAGACCTTTCCGATCCTTTTTAATGTTTCAAAAGAAAAGAAATTGTTGACATTTTATAATTACAATACCTAAAAGTTAGCTTCAGTAGCTGAGAAATGTTTGAAAAATATTTAAAGAAACTGTTCTTGAAATTTCAAGTGACCCTTCATTGCCCGACTCCCAACGTTACCCTTGAAACCTTATTCTGATCAATAGCGTGATGACTTTGTTCTACTATTCGACAATTCCTTCACTTCAAATCACTTTTGTAGAAACCACAATTAAGACACATTAGTTTTCAATGTTATACCGTAGATATCTCATTCATGTATGGTCAAGGTCTCTATAATTGAAGGGTGTATACTCTAGTCTACGTTCTACAATCTTTTTGAGAAAAATATTTTATAAAAGTACATATTATTTATTTTGTTGAAGTTCCTAATGAAGAAGAAGAAGAAGACTGCAAGGATGAAGATGACAATGATGATGATGATGGCGGTGAAGATGAGAGTACTCGTGTACAGCAGCAGGTTCATCCTGTACAGTATATTGTACAGTGTGCGTTCAATTTTAAATCCAACTTTCAGAATCATAAAATGTCTTTTAATTTTTTTGTAGTTTAACCACCAATTTCTTGCAGCCCATGAAGGTTTTTGGTTTTATTTTCTTTTGAAAATAAAACAAAAATTTAATTCGCCTTAAAATTTGTTTATGTTTAAATTTAACGGAGTTCGAACAAACAAACAAACATTCGAGATAAAAAGGAAACTTTTCAAAAAAGAGTGAAAAGATACAACTCAGAAGAATTTCAAGAATTAAAAAGAATAAAACGTGCATAAAAAATATTATAACCAAAACTTTCAACGGCTGAAATAAGAAAGACTATATAAAGAAAGACTATATAAAATTTGGAACAGCAATTGTGTAGCATTTTTGCTGTACAACAACATCACAAGATTATATACATGTCTTCTTCCTATTCCACATTATTAAAAGTTCCACTGTATCTACCTGTCATCTGTAGGTTGACTATGAGGTCCCACTGTATCTACCTGTCATCTGTAGGTTGACTATGAGGTCCCACTGTATCTACCTGTCATCTGTAGGTTGACTATGAGGTCCCACTGTATCTACCTGTCATCTGTAGGTTGACTATGAGGTTCCACTGTATCTACCTGTCATCTGTAGGTTGACTATGAGGTTCCACTGTATCTACCTGTCATCTGTAGGTTGACTATGAGGTCCCACTGTATCTACCTGTCATCTGTAGGTTGACTATGAGGTCCCATTGTATCTACCTGTCATCTGTAGGTTGACTATGAGGTTCCACTGTATCTACCTGTCATCTGTAGGTTGACTATGAGGTTGATTAGTTTGACAAATATGATCTGGAAGAGAGAGTATATCTGTACCGGTCAACTCAGCTGGTTCTGCGCATAGAGTTCTGCGCACCAGAGATCTTCCTTTCACAATTTGATCTTCTATCAATCTTCTAAATATACAGGTATTAGTTACAGAGGCGTAATCGGGTTGGGGACTATAGTGGGTATCAGACAAATGCCTGATTTCGCCCCTGATTAGTAATTTACAGAATCTGAAATGGCGCCGAAATTCTGCAACATCGAAAATCTGCGTTGATTAAGTTGCCTGTCCTAGCCAAGGCGCTATGTCCTGACATTTTAACGCATGACTTTACATAACCTAGCTTCCAATATATCAGCTTTCAATATTCATTCTTTTTCCGAAATTTTACTTTAAATCTGTATGTAAGGATTACCCACCCGCTCTGGTTTATAATACGACACAAGTTGTTGGTGTTTGTATTTTGATAACAAGTTTTCTAGAGTGTCAATTGTGATTATGTTAAATTTGCAAATATGCAAATATATGCTAATATAGATGGGGGCTGGAGGAAACCAGAAAACTTGCAAGATTTTTCAAGCGAGTAATTTATATTTTTTATTGTTTATAATCTTTATTCCAAACACATACTATGATTGGAAAAGAGAGGTAATTTTTGTTTTATAAGCTGGGTAATTTTTGTTTTATAAGCTGGGTAACTTTTGTTTTATAAGCTCGGTAATTTTTGTTTTATAAGCTGGGTAATTTTTGTTTTATAAGCTGGGTAATTTTTGGTTTATAAGCTGGGTAACTTTTGTTTTATAAGCTGGGTAATTTTTGGTTTATAAGCCGGGTAATTTTTGTTTTATAAGCTGGGTAATTTTTGGTTTATAAGCTGGGTAATTTTTGGTTTATAAGCTGGGTAATTTTTGGTTTATAAGCTGGGTAATTTTTGGTTTACAAGCTGGGTAATTTTTGGTTTATAAGCTGGGTAATTTTTGGCTTATAAGCTGGGTAACTTTTGTTTTATAAGCTGGGTAATTTTTGTTTTAAAAGCTGAGTAATTTTTGTTTTATAAGCTGGGTGGTTTTTGTTTTATAGGCTGGGTAATTTTTGTTTTATAAGCTGGGTAATTTTTGTTTTATAAGCTGGGTAATTTTTGTTTTATAAGCTGGGTAATTTTTGTTTTATAAGCTGGGTAATTTTTGGTTTATAAGCTGGGTAATTTTTGGATTATAAGCTGGGTAATTTTTGGTTTATAAGCTGAGTAATTTTTGTTTTATAAGCTGGGTAATTTTAGTTTTATAAGCTGGGTAATTCAACTTTTTTAAGCTGGGCAATATTTTTTATTCTAGCTATTCTATTCTAGCTATTCTATTATTTGCTCATGATAATCTATAGCAATCAGCATCTATTCACATCACTATCTATTCTTCACGATCTAAATTTTTAGAGAAATTCAATTGTTGAAATTCAGAGTTTTAAGGGTTTATTACAGAAGTTGTGGATTAACTGGATAAAGTGAATGAACGTTAAAACGGATAAGCTTCATTAATGAGTTAAACTAAGTAATTAATTCATTTACCAGTTCTAGTTCTAGCTCTAGTTCTAGTTATAGTTATAGTTCTAGCTCTAGCTTTGGGTCATTTCGTAGAAATACATTTCATAGAAAGACATTTCATAGATAGGACATTTCATAGACGGGACATTTCTTAGATAGGACATTTAGTAGAAAGAACATTTCATTGACAGGACATTTCATAGAAGACATTTCATAAACAGGACATTTCATAGACACGATCTTTCAAAGACAAAGAATATTTTTCATAGATAAATTATTTGTTTTCGTCCAAGTAATCTTATCTAATAAATCATACCCTGTTCTTTCTACGATCTCTGTGATTTTTACTTCATATATTATTATTTTTGCTTTAAACTGATAACATATTATAAATTGTTGATTTCTTGTAAGTCAAACTGATTACATTTTCTAAAATTTTGACACATTTTTTGCATACCCAAAACCTTAATTGTCTCTGAAAAAAATACTTTTATGTCTTTGAAATTACCTATCTCTGAAAATTCTTCTCTGTCTATGAAATTGTCTGTCTGTGAAAAGTCTGCTCCGTCTTTGAAATATCCTGTCTATGGAAAGTCCTATCTATGAAATGTCCTATATATTAAATGTGTCCTATTTATGAATTTCTTTTTCTATGAAATGTCCCTTCTATGAAATCACCTGTCTATAAAATGTCCTGTCTATGATATGTCCTGTCTATGAAATGTCCTGTCTATGAAATGTCCTATATATGAAATCACCTGTCCATAAAATGTCCTGTCTATCAAATGTCCCATCTATGAAATGTCCTGTCTATGAAATGTCCTATCTATGAAATCACCTGTCTATAAAATGTCCTGTCTATGATATGTCCTGTCTATGAAATGTCCTGTCTATGAAATGTCCTATCTATGAAATCACCTGTCTATAAAATGTCCTGTCTATGAAATGTCCTATCTATGAAATGTCCTGTCTATGAAATGTCCTATCTATGAAATCACCTGTCTATAAAATGTCCTGTCTATGATATGTCCTGTCTATGAAATGTCCTATCTATGAAATCACCTGTCTATAAAATGTCCTGTCTATGAAATTTCCTGTCTATAAAATGTCCTGTCTATGATATGTCCTTTCTATGAAATGTCGTATCTACAAGTGTGTATTTTGCAGAATTAATAGATGTATTTTGGCTAGAAACCATTTATTCATAAATCGTAAAATTTAAATTGTATTTATTGTGATTTTAGCCGAAATATAGCTTTCTATCTGTCTTTCTATCTTTCTATCTATCTATCTACTTTTTAGACTAAAGCTGCTAAGAAAGATTATTTTGATGCATTAAAAGATTCCACTAAGACTATGCAACAACTTTTCCAGGGAAAATCAATTCTAAAACTACTCGATATAAAATTAATTCTAAAACTACTCGATATAAAATTAATTCTAATACTTTACTTATTAGAACAGTTTTCCCTGACTCTTTATGAACCTCAACACTACCAGATTAAAGTTATTTTAAATTTACTCGATATGAATTTATCTTAATATGCTAAATGTTAAGATAATCTTCACCAAATCGATATAAAGTATTATTAATAAAACTAATTTATAGACAGTTTCCCAAATTGCTCAATATGTGGTTATTCCAAAATTTTCATCCCACCCCCCCTTCCCGTGTCATATCATGATATCCTTTTCTTAAATCCCTGAAATTGTTGCAATCTAGAGAAAGGTAACCTTTGGTGTCTACTTTAACTCCTTTAACTCTGTAAACTCAATTGAAAAAGGCTTAAAGGTTATCCCAAGCAAAACATTGTCCAAAGCTTCTCAATTATCCAAACAGAAGCTAAAGAACCCCAAACAGAAGCTAAAGAAACCCAAACAGAAGCAAAAGAAACCCAAACAGAAGCAAAAGAAACCCAAACAGAAGCTAAAGAAACCCAAACAGAAGCAAAAGAAACCCAAACAGAAGCAAATCAGAAGAAAATAAAGCAAACTAAACAGAACCAAACGGTAAATATTAACTTTAAAAATACGAGATAATTAGTTCAGATTTTCTACACTATAGGTCGGGTTTCTCTAGGTCCGTTTCCATGGCATCAAACAAAACAATACCAAAAATATCAAATCAAAATAAAATACAACAACCTCCATTATTTTTAGAACACCTCTGCGGGCCTAATTCTTCCCTCCCTTTAAATATTTTCCGAACCTTACTTCCCCTTCTTCCTCCATCTCCCCCCTTTTCTTCCTTCCCCCCTCCTATTCCCCTTTTTCCTTTTTCTCCCCAGCTTCTCTCACCCATCTTTGTTTGTATTTGGTCAAGATATAGGATTAGAGCAAGCTTAGAACAAACAGAGAGAAATAGCCAGGATTTAAAATAGAGAAGGTGTAAACTATACAACTATATTACTATATAACTATCTGGCTATATAACTATCTGGCTATACAACTATACAACTATATAACTATCTGGCTATACAACTATACAACTACATAACTGTCTGGCTATATAACTATCTGGCTATACAACTATACAACTATCTTGCCATATAAATATCTAGCTTTACAACTATCTGGCTATATAACTATCTATAGCTTTACAACTATCTGGCTATATAACCATCTACAGCTTTAAAACTATCTAGTTATTTAACTATTCTATTTTAATTGCTAAACTATCTAACTATCATATTTTCTTATGGCTGAACTATCTAGCTTTCCATCTTTTTTATGTTAATTGTTAAACTATCTAACTATTATATCTTATTGTTGAACTATTTAGGTTTCTAACTTTTTTATGTTAATTGTTAAACTATTGAACTATTATATCTTATTGTTGAACTATTTAGGTTTTTAACTTTTTTATGTTAATTGTTAAACTATCTAACTATTATATATTATATCTTATTGTTGAACTATTTAGATTTTTAACTTTTTTATGTTAATTGTTAAACTATCTAACTATTACATCTTATTGTTGAACTATTTAGGTTTTTAACTTTTTTATGTTAATTGTTAAACTATTGAACTATTATATCTTATTGTTGAACTATGTAGATTTCTAACTTTTTTACGTTCATTGATAAGCTATCAAACTATTATATCTTTAATTGTTAAACTATCTAGCTTTCTAACTGTTTAATGTTAATTGCTAAACTATCTAAATATTACACTATCTTGCTGAATTATCCATTTATTTTATTTTAATTGCTAACTATCTATATAATAATTTGAAATTGAAACCTCGGATTTTTAAAAATTTAATCTGCTTAAGTTTTTTTAATGGAGACATTTCTGATACACTCTAAAAAAATGTCAAGAAAAGTTTCCTTATGAACAAAATAAATGAGTCAAGTCGAAAAAATGTAAATTTGATTTTTAACAAAACAACTTTGTTGATAAACAAATCAAAGCTTCGAAAACAAAAGTTTTTCCGTTTCCCAAAAAAGATTTAGGTTTTATGGCCTTAAAAAAGAGAATCTATAAGTTTATTGTGTCTACTACTCAGTTTCCTCCATTTTCCAAAAATGAAATTATGCAAAAATCCATTTAATATGAGCGCAATGGCCAGTATACAGATGATGGGCCCTGCTATTGCAAGTTCTAAGAATCCGGATTTGAAACTGGATATATGTATGTAGTCAGCCGGATTTGATATAAACTGGATATATGTATGTAGTTAGCCGGATGGAATAATTACTGCGTCAAACTTCAACAATTCTATTTCAAGATAGATAGATATATTTACTTTATACTAAAGGATATCCCAGCACCCCCACCCCACACTTTAGTCTATAGGGTAACCCTGCACCCCCACACCCCAGCTAAAGATATATAAACCAGTGGACTTAAAAATACTTTGTAAGGTCCCTTTAAAGATATCTCTGTAAATTACCTAAGAAGAAGAGCAGAGCAGTCGCAGTGCCAAGAATTACCAGAGATTTGAAGAGATGATAAACCTTCCCAAGGAGTAGTGTTAGGGTACAAGAATCTAGATAGATAAACATTAATTCAATTAGGTTTGGTTTGCTTATAGAGACATCGCGTTTATTATTCATTTTACCAGGTTTGGTTTGGTTTGGTTTGGTTTGCATTGCTCAGGATCAAGGGTGTGGGAATAAAGAAGAAATTACTAGTTTTAGTAGGTTTGGTTTGGTTTGGTTTGATTTACTCAGGGTATAGGAATATAGCAAATATTAATGTTAAAGATTTTGTTTGATTGTTAGGTTGCATTTTATTTTGAAGTTTTATCAATAATTTTTTAAATAAATTTTTGGTAACATTGCTCTTCAACTTTAATCATAATGTAAAGGAATTGAGTTTTTGCCACAAACTCTAACCTTTTATATCTTTGCAACCTGATGGTGTAATCCTTTTATATTTTAACCTTAGATTATTTGATCAAACAGAACTCATCGTTTGAAATATATAAAGCAAACGACAATTGGTTGCAAAGGTTTAAGAATTAAAAAATCAGAGTCTATAGCAAAGACTCCATTTCTTTGATATCTTGATAAATGTTGGATGTTTTACTTCAGATTGTTTTGACTGATATCTAGATGAACTAAAGTTGACATCTCAGGACTGAAAACTTCATCCTCGATCTCCTCCAGCTCAGAGTTGAAAGAGATGGTCACGTTCTCCAGGTTGCGGAGCAGATTGAAGGACTGCCCTTGTATCCGGGTAAGTGTGGAGCAGGATGATATCTCTAGAACTCTTAGGTTTATATTCCTACGTAGAACGAGACATATATATATAGTGAGTGAAAACTAAAATTCAAAGAAGATTTTCACAAGAAGTCCGCGATACGGTTATAGTATTCATTTTCCTTTAATTTTAGCCATTTTATTTTACATTTTTTTAAATTTTGAATTTAACAACTATTATGAATGTTTAAATTATTGGGTACAGACTACAGATCATACAGAAATATTTTATTATACTTCTTGTCATCTTATTTTTCCTTTCTTCTTCCAGCGATTTAGGAGAAAAAAAATACGTGGCCATTTTATTAATCAACAAGTCCTTAAAACTTGAAAAAATGAAATACTGGTGAATATATTCTAATAAGTTTAAATAGAGTCTTATAAAAATAGTCTTTGGTTGTATTCAACCCGCCTTGGGATATTTACTAGCTTTGAGAAAACTTTGTTTTGAATATTCTTGTTTTTGATGAAACCAGTTCTATCCCCAGATCCATCATGCTTTATAAAAACAAATTAATTATTCAGACAGTTCCGTGTCAAGGATTAGATATATTAATGTCCCTGATGGAGTTGGGTTGGAGGATGGTGAACAGGTTCCTGGACAGGTTCAGCTCCTCCAGGTGTCCCAGCAGACTCAGAGCACTAATTGATAAATTAATTAGGATTGTGTCCCGCCATTGTTAAAATATTCTGCTGCTAATTTTGCGCAGTGTTGCAGAAACACGAGTCTACAGAAACACAGAGATCAAAGAAAAATAATTAATGTTTGCAATAAATTCGCAACTTTACTTCATGGAGGAACTTTAAAGGAGACAATGCAGATAAGGAAACCGGGGGATGCAAGGCAGGGACATTACAGGGACATCAAGGGACATTATATTGAGACATCATGGGACATTACGGGTCTTCAAGGGACATTAGGGGACATCACGGGACATCAGGGGACATCAAGGGACATCTGGGGACATTAGAAGACATCAGGGGAAATCAAGGGACATCAGGGGACATACAGAGATATCTGGGATATAAGTAGGCTTCTGAGTACATCATGGAATATCAAGGAACATCAGGGGACATCGGGAGACATTTAAGGCATAAGCTGACATCAAGGGACATCAAGGGAAATCAAGGGAAATCAGGGGACATTAGGGGACAGCAGGAGATATTAGGGGACATTAAGAGACATTATGGGACATCAGGGGACATTTGGGAACATTAGGGGATATCAAGAGATATCAGGGGATATCAAGAGACATCAGAGGATATCAAGAGACATCTGTGGACATTAGGAGACATTAAGGACATCATAAGTTGACATCAAGGAACATCAAAGAAAATCAAGGGACATCAGGGGACAAACAGAGATATCTGAGATATAAGTGGGCTTCTGAGTACATCAGGGAATATCAAGGAACATCAAGGGACATCGGGGTGCATTAAGGAACATCAGGGGACATCAAGGGACATCATGAAACATCAATGGATATCTATCAAGAGACATTATGGAACATCAAGGGACATCGGGGTGCATTAAGGAACATCAGGGGACATCAAGGGACATCATGGGACATCAAGGGACATCAAGGGACATTATGGGACATCACGGGACATCAGGGGACATTAGGGTACATCAGGGAATATCATGGGACATCAGGGGACATCATGAGACATCAGGGGTATTCATTGGCATCTGAGTACATCAGGGAATATAGAGGAACATCCTGGGACACACTTCCACATTTCAAAACTTCCACATTTCAACACTTCCACATTTCCACGCTTTAACACTTCCACGCTTTAACACTTCCACGCTTTAACACTTCCACATTTCCACGCTTTAACACTTCCACGCTTTAACACTTCCACACTTCTACACTTCCACACTTCCACACTTCCACACTTCCACACTTCCACACTTCCACACTTCCACACTTCCACACTTCCACACTTCCACACTTCCACACTTCCACACTTCCACACTTCCACACTTCCACACTTCCACACTTCCACACTTCCACACTTCCACACTTCCACACTTCCACACTTCCACACTTCCACTCTTCAACACTTCAACACTTCAACACTTCAACACTTCAACACTTCAACACTTCAACACTTTATCACTTATACTTAAAAATATGTCTGCACTGCATTAACTGATTTTAGGGCTCGGCCCGGATTAGACAAGATCATACTCTATCATTTAAATCATTAGAAATGTACAACATACTGCAATTTCACAGAATATCATGTTTTCCACCTTTTTGCTACAGGACATCAAGGGACATCAGAGCCAAGGGGACATTATGATATATTAAGGTCATAAGTTGACATCGGGACATCAAGGGAAACCAAGGGACATCAGGGGACATCAAGGAATCAGGGGACATCATATGATATTAGAGATACCAGGGGCATAAATGGTTATCGGAGCATATCAGATCCCAATGAACTATCACAAAAATTGGGACATCTGTAAAAGCTAATACACGGAATGGGACATCTGGGTAACTTAGAACTACAGAAGGGACTTCCTTGTGAACAACAGAGTGGAAAAGGATATAAAACTAAATAAATGAATATGATTGGCCAGCATAAAAAAGAGAATAAGAAATTATCAGAAACATAAAAAGAAACATAATACATGATGCAGTTTATTAGATGAAATATTCAAACTGAAAGATGAAAAATATAAAAGCAAGGTTGTGTGTCTCTAAACTATTTAATCTCCTGTGAGGAGAATTCCTAAACTATGGTTGTGCCAAGGACTCAAAACTTTAACGGACAGAAACCATTTTCATCATTTAGAAGATTTGAAAGTAAAGCCAAATTAATTCAAGTGGATTGCATGAAAGTAAAATGAAACTGAAAACTATGAGTAAGAGGGCCGAAACAGGATTTCATTTCTTGCAAAGAATAAAGACAACAAAGAACCGAAAAATTCGGCCTGAATTTATTTCTTGGTGTCAAGGAATATGTTCTTTTCCTTTGCAGAATCTAATAAAAGTATTTGCAAGAAGATTTTTAAAAACATTAATCTGCCAAATATATTTAAGGTGTAATCCAGAATTGTATTAAAGTATTAAAGATAGTTTACCCTAAAGCACAAGTTTAAAAATTTTAATTTGTATTTTAACATGAAACGATAAAACTGAACCGGAAACAGTTCATTTTAAACATTTAATTTACAAGACTAAAAAATCTAAAATATTCAAAAATTAATTTTAGAAACGTTGAAAGGATTTTATTCTTTGCCACAAACTCAGATTTTCTAATCCCTTTATCTTTAGAATTCACCGTCGTAGACCTTAGATATTTCAAACTATGAATTCTGTTAGACTAAATAATCTAAGGTTTACACTATCCAGATTGTATAGATATAGGGATTAGAAAATTTGAGTTTTGTGGCAAAGACTCAATTCCTTTTCATTTCTTACATAAAACAATTGCTGTCTCAGTACGACAGGGAGAAAGCAATTGTGCGGTAAAGAGAGACCCATTTCACTTTTTAAAAAAAGTTAGATACATACGAGCTAAAAGTTATTGCATTATAAAATCATCAGAAGCTCATAAGATTTATTAATTGTCGTCTTCCTATTACAAAGTTTTATGGGCCAAAGACTTCGATAATATCAATACAATGAAGACAATTTGATATCTCTCTTTTTAGCTCTTTTCAGATTGCAAGTTTAAAAGTAAACAAAGAGAAGTTGTTAATATTGAAAACTTTTGTTTATGTGTCTCTGTTGTTTGAACGACTGGTAGAAATATGAAGTCGTCTTTATTGTATTGATATTTACGACGACGACTGTATCTACATAAAGAATCAAGATGAGAAACACTTAAACAGTTTTTTTAGTACCTGGTAGGAATTGTTGTCAGCTGATTTCCCGCCAAATTCAAATATTTCAAATTCACAAGTTCCTCAAACACTTCATCAGGGATACTAAAAAATAAAAAGAAATATTTAAAATGTTCGAAAATATTCTTTCTGCTTTAAACATTTTAATTCTTCGACGAACAAAAAACGTTCACCTACTCAAAGGCAACAAAAGTTGTTAGCCTCCGAAACTGAGTTCATTGTGTATTAACGAATTATTATTTGTAAATTGTACAGTGAATAAATTCTCTGTTCTTCCACTTTTGCACGTACTGATCTCTTTAAAACTATTGGGCCCCTGAATCAATTAATTTCTCAGCTCATCAAACAAACGTGTTTGAAAAACTGAACAATTTCTTTTTCATCAAATATCCCTTATTTTGAGTAGATTGTACCGTACGGTATACATTGTACAAGATGAAGTATTCTGTTAAAAATTTAGTTTTATCTACTTCCGCCATTCCTGTCACTTCTTTTCAATCTCCTTTTACCCCAGCCTCCACAGAATACCAGGAACGTACGGGTACGGGAAGGGGGGGCTGGGGGGGTTAATGAGAAAAAATATTGTGTTAAACCCTGTTCAATTCTTTGCAGTATTGTATAGTGTATACCGATGTAAAAAGTTAATATTTGTAAATAGATATACATATAAAAATATAAATGCATTTTTTTTATTAAACTAAAGCCGAGAGATAATTATATATCAGTTTTATTTATACCAAAATACACATTTACTTGAGAATAAAAGCTAACAGAACTGTAGCTGGTCAAAACACCCTGTTCAAGGGACAGTATGCGTAATTTCAAAAGATCCTCAATTTATAACACACTCTGTCCGATTCACAAGAGTACCCATAAATAATTTGTATGCTGATCAAAAATGAATAAGACTTCTATTCTAAAAGAATGGTAACTTGAAAATCCGTCTACAGTTACTTTAATTGATAAAAAGTCTAAATTTTATGCGTGACCTGAAAAAAGTGTGTTTAGGCTTTTTAGTCTACAAAGTACTAATGATCATTTTTTTGTGTTAAAAAGTGCTTCTAGTAGGTTCAATACCCACTAATGGGGGTCGTTGATAAAACATTTTTCTCAAAAGTGCCGTTTAACCAGGCGCGCAACTAGACATTTGGTTAGGGGGGGATAGGAAGAAATATTTTGCGCGAAGCGCGAAAATTTTTTTGGCCCCCCCTAAACATTTTTAGGGGAGCGCCTGGTTTTAACCTTCAAAATTAGTCATAATACTCGAAAATGTGCTCGGTCCCATTTCCGAAGATATTAATTGCGTTTTCACCTCGTTTACCCACTAAACGTCGTTTTATTCGTCTACAATGTGTGCAGTGTGACTATAAGCAACGAGGTGACTAGTAGGTACAATGTCCATAAATTGGGGGGGTCGTCGTTAAAACATTTTACTCTAATTTTCCGTTTGATCCTTCAAAAGGTAATGTTACAACGTCTATACGCAACATCCCCCCTACTGAACTTCTGACCTACTAACTTTCCGACCTATTGCAATATCGGACCTACGCCAGCTGTTTATTTTAGTATTATTTGAGGGTTAGGTTAGGTTAAGACAATTTCTGGGCCGAGCGCTGCGGCTAGGACAGGCTAGGGGGCCGAGCGCCGCGGCTAGGACAGGCTAGGGGGCAGAGCGCTGCGGCCACAAGTCCATATAGCAGCTGTAATACCACGTGCTAGTAGGTCGGATGTGTAGTATAGCGGATTTGGCGTAGGTCAGAAATGGAGTATGGCGGATATGTGTAGGTCGAAAAATACACCACCTCCTTCAAAATGTACTCGAACTGTAGTCGGTCCCTTTACAAAAGACTTTTAAAAAGATTTTAAATTTTTTTCTATTCTTAAAATTACTCTATTCTGTCGTATAAAACGTAAAAATAAAATTATAATTCGATTTTTTTTAAATCTTTGAAAAGGAGACCGTGCACATTTTCGAATATTAGTGCCGCGTTTAAAGGTTAAAACGGCATTTTATAGAAAAATATTTCATCGACGACTCACCGCCCCCCACCCCCATTAGTAGGTTTGTACCTGCTACAAGCACTTTTCAGCACATTTTAACGATATTTAATAAGCAAAAGGCCTAAACACACTTTTTTAAAAACAATATTGCTAAAATCAAAAGTTAAATTTTATACTTTTTGACAAAAAAGCAATTCAGTTTTAGCAACTTTTTATTGGTCAGGCGTCAAGACTTAAATATATTTCTAGGACGAAATTTGTCTAAAATGTTAAACTTTCTGAGACAACATTAAAAGCCGAGATTTTTAATCATTTATTGTATAATTAACCCTTCTTTTTAAAGTCTCCAGCTAAGTCTACTCGTTTTCTAAATTACGTTGTATAATGGGACCCATTCCTTGGAGAATAGAAGAATAGGAGACCATTATACAGATCTGCAAAAAATACAAATAGTTCCCTTTCTTCATTCTGCTTTTAGAAACACCAAAGGGGGAGGTCTTAATAAATAAGCATCCGGAGGGGAGGTCGTAACAAATAAGCATGTGCAGTGTGCACCTATATAGTTGTAGATAATTCATAATTCAACCATTAAAAGTTCAGCATTTTAAAAATGATAAGTTTAATGATTTAAACTCAAAAGTATTAAAAAAATAACTCGATAAAAATATCTAGGTAAGAACAAAGATGAGACACAAAACTCAGATAGAACATACACGAAACTCAGATAAAACATACACCAAACATAGATAAAACATACACAAAACTCAGATAGTGCATACAACAAACTTAGATAGAACATACACAAAACTCAGATATAACATACACAAAGCTCTGAAAGAATATACAGCAGATTCAGATAGAACATAAACCAAACTCAGATAGAACAAACAGCAAATTCAGATAGAACATACACCAAACTCAGAAAAAAAAACATACACAAAAAAGGCGCAATTGAGAGAAATTGTGTAACTTAGTCTACATAGTTCAACTAATTACCTAGTCTCAGAACTCACACAGACCTCAGATAGAGCTCAGATAGAATTCAGATAAAACTCAGATAGAACTCAGATAGAACTCAGATAAAACTCAGATAGAACTCAGATAGAACTCTGGTAGAATTCAGATCGAACTCAGATAGAACTCAGATATAATTCAGATAGAACTCAGATAGAACTCAGATAGAACTCAGATAGAACTCAGATAGAACTCAGACAGAACTCAGATAGAACTCAGGTAGAACTCAGATAGAATTCAGATAGAATTCAGATAGAACTCTGATAGAATTCAGATAGAACTCTGATAGAATTCAGATAGAACTCTTATATAATTCAGATAGAACTCAGATAGAACTCAGATAGAACTCAGATAGAACTCAGATAGAACTCAGATAGAATTCAGATCGAGCTCAGATAGAACTAAGATAGAACACAGATAGAACTCAGATAGAACTCAGATAGAATTCAGATAGAACTCAGATAGAACTCNTCTAGAAGTTAGATAGAACTAATCTAGAAGTTAGATAGAACTAATCTAGAAGTTAGATAGAACTAATCTAGAAGTTAGATAGAACTAATCTAGAAGTTAGATAGAACTAATCTAGAAGTTAGATAGAACTAATCTAGAAGTTAGATAGAACTAATCTAGAAGTTAGATAGAACTAATCTAGAAGTTAGATAGAACTAATCTAGAAGTTAGATAGAACTAATCTAGAAGTTAGATAGAACTAATCTAGAAGTTAGATAGAACTAATCTAGAAGTTAGATAGAACTAATCTAGAAGTTAGATAGAACTAATCTAGAAGTTAGATAGAACTAATCTAGAAGTTAGATAGAACTAATCTAGAAGTTAGATAGAACTAATCTAGAAGTTAGATAGAACTAATCTAGAAGTTAGATAGAACTAATCTAGAAGTTAGATAGAACTAATCTAGAAGTTAGATAGAACTAATCTAGAAGTTAGATAGAACTAATCTAGAAGTTAGATAGAACTAATCTAGAAGTTAGATAGAACTAATCTAGAAGTTAGATAGAACTAATCTAGAAGTTAGATAGAACTAATCTAGAAGTTAGATAGAACTAATCTAGAAGTTAGATAGAACTCTGAGATATAAGTTATAACTTAAATATGTAAAATTTATAGAAGTTGTTTGTCAAACTAAATTAGTTTATCAGCATAACACTTCTATAATATGTATGTATACAGGGTTATACACTAAACACTGGAATTAAGAGACGACTTGAAATCGTGTGTGTTCTACACGGAAATACTTAATAGTTCTTCACAATTTAACATTGTCCTGATTTGCCATTTTTAGCTTTAAAATTATTGGAGATATTGAGAAATGATCTGAATACTCGCCACACATTCTAAATTTTAATTCCTTTATCTTTCCAACCTAAAGATCTAAACTTTAAATACTTAGATTGACAAAATTCAAAATGATCATTGTAGTACGTAGGTCTACTAGATCTAAACGTTAAAAATTAGCTGATAAGTATATACTTGTTCTAAATATTTCCTGTAATCTTGAGCACAACTTTATATCTGGGATTAATAATAATCCCCCACTGCATGCATTAGAAATCTTGAAGTTTGTAAGTTCATTCTTCGGATTAATGCAATTCGTTCAAACACAAACCAAAACCAGAACTTTTATCATCGTAAGATAACTCTTCTAGAAAGGAAAGGGCTAAGGATAACTCTTCAACTGGAAAAAGATTGTCTACTGCAAAGATAACTCTTCTTCTAGAAAATAACTCTTTTACTGGACAAATGACTCTCTTTTCGGACAAATGTATCTTTTGTTGGAAAAATAACGTTCCTTTTTGAAAATAACTCTTTTACTGGACAAATGGCTCTCCTATTGGAAAAATGTATCTTCTACTGGAAAAATAACTCTTCTACGGCAAAGATAACTCTTCGTCTGGAAAATAACTCTCCTACTGGAAAGATAATCCTGTTTACAGCCGAAATGACAATTCTTTGTACAACGGAAAGGAGAGCTCTTGTAAAACTCTAAGAATAACTCTTATAAATCAAAAATAACTGAAAAATTACTTTCTACTGATTAGACAACTTGTTAAGTACTGAAAGAATCATTTTTCTCCCACTTATAAGTTACATTTCTTAATATTAAAAGGCTTTTCGTACTTCTTCGTAGTGTTTTTTTTCTATTGCAAAAATCGTTCTCCGCGTTAATAACCTATCGTCAGCGAAATAACTCTAATTTAGAAATGGAGAAGAAGTACCTGCTATATTCTATTAACAGTCTGTTAACAACCAAGAAAGATGAAAAAATAATTAAAGAATATCAGATAAATAATATTCAATTAAGAGTAAGTTCATGGTATAAGAGTGTGTAAAGTGTAAACAAAAAACAATAATCTTACCTCTTGATCAGATTATCTGCTAAGTCGAGATGTAGTAAACCTAGAGATTTTTCATTCTTAGGATTTTAGTAATACTTAGTTATACTTAGTTATACTTAGTTATGCTTAGTTATACTTAGTTATACTTAGTTATACTTAGTAATACTTAGTTATACTTAGTTATACTTAGTTATACTTAGTTATACTTAGTTATACTTAGTTATACTTAGTTATACTTAGTTATACTACAGGAATACAATGATAATGGATGAAGATTTGAACTGACAATGGATGATTAATAAATGATTATGTAGGGGGTGGGGGCAGGTTAGGCAAAGCTTTCATTCGGTGGTTGGGTATTTTACAAGGGCTCTGCGTAAGAATTAGGATGGGAATAGAGTGTTTGAGAAGAAAGGAAAAGATTAAAGTCTGTTCAAAAAAAGGGTTGAATAGGAAGTAATTCTGATTTTCCTTGGAAAAGAAAACAGTTTATAATCTAGTCGCTAGTCCTATAGTTGTTAAACCTTGGTTTAGAATTTAGATACTAAAAATATTTTGTCTGATTAAGTGAAAATAGAATCCAGGGGGAAGGGGGAGGAATGGGGAGGGGGTAAAAAAGACTGAAAAGGGGAAAGGAAAAAGGATGGGAAGGGGAAATGGAGAAGGATGGGGAGGGGAAAGGGGAAAGGATGGTGGGAGTGAATAGAGGCTGGGAATGGGAAAAGGGTCGGGGAGTGATGGGACTGGAATGGAAGCGGAGGAAAGAGAAAAACATTGTATAAAATGTAAAATTGAAATTATCATGTCATTGAAGATTTATCAAGATTTAGTATTGAAGACTTGTTTGTCAAGCTATTAATCAAGCTGGCGTTCCAACACTACAGTGCACTGGGATTAAATACAGTTCCAACACTACAGTGCACTGGGATTAAATACAGTTCCAACACTGCAGTGCACTGGGATTAAATACAGTTCCAACACAACAGTGCACTGGGATTAAATACAGTTCCAACACTACAGTGCACTGGGATTAAATACGAAGAAAAAAGAAAGTTTCACTAGGATTCCGTTCTTAATTCCCGCAGCTTTTTTTTCAAAAACTTTTCCTACTTTTTTTTTACTTTTTTCCTCTCTCTCTTTCTGTTATAAATTTGCTAATCTTCTTTAATTTTCCCAAATCGTTTAACTTCTTCCCTCTCATTTCTCATATTTCCCCTGCAATTACAACTTTTCTCATGTATTCTCTTTCAATTGCGTTTCTACTCCTTTCCATGCATTTTCCTCCTTTCGTCACGTTCCTTGACATTTTATTTTCCATTCTTCTCCTTCCCTCTAAGCATTCTCCTTTATTCTCCTTCCCCCTTATTCGATAGTTCTTCTCGTTCATTACATTTCTTCTTCTTTCTCCTCCTTTCCTCGCAGTTTTCCTCCTTTCTTCTTCTTCTTCCTGTAAATTTATTCTCCTTACTCCTCCTTTCCATTCAGTTTTTAGCCTATCTTCTTCTTCCTTTGCATCTATTATCTTTTCTCCTTATGTTCTGGTAGTTTTTCTCCTTTCTTCTTCTTCCTTTCCATACATTCTTTTTTCTCCTCACGTTCTAGTAGTTTTGCTCCTTTCTTCTTCTTCCTTTACATCTAGTCTCTTTCTCCTCATGTTCTAGTGGTTTTTCTCCTTTCTTCTTCTCCCTTCACATCTAGTCTCTTTCTCCTCATGTTTAGTAGTTTTTCTCCTTTCTTCTTCTTCCTTTACATCTAGTCTCTTTCTCCTCATGTCCTTTCTTCTTCTTCCTTTACATCTAGTCTCTTTCTCCTCATGTTCTAGTAGTTTTTTTTCCTTTCTTCTTCTTCCTTTACATCTTGTCTCTTTCTCCTCATGTTCTAGTAGTTTTTCTCCTTTCTTCTTCTTCCCTTACATCTAGTCTCTTTCTCCTCATGTTCTAGTAGTTTTTCTCCTTTCTTCTTCTTCCTTTACATCTATTCTCTTTCTCCTCATGTTCTAGTAGTTTTGCTCCTTTCTTCTTCTTCCTTTACATCTAGTCTCTTTCTCCTCATGTTCTAGTAGTTTTTCTCCTTTCTTCTTCTTCCTTTACATCTAGTCTCTTTCTCCTCATATTCTAGTAGTTTTTCTTCTTCCTTTACATCTAGTCTCTTTCTCCTCATGTTCTAGTAGTTTTTCTCCTTTCTTCTTCTTCCTTTAACTCTATTCTCTTTTCTCCTCATTTTCTAGTAGTTTTTCTCCTTTCTTCTTACTCTGTCGTTTTATTTCCCTTCTAACCCCACCCCCCGTAAAATATATACAGGTTGAAGGCAGATGTTGGATTGAACTTTGTTTATTATAAAACATGGATCTACTTTATCAATATATACAGGTTGAAGGCAGATGTTGGATTGAACTTTGTTTATTATAAAACATGGATCTACTTTATCAATGAAGTTAACTTAGGGTTCAAACTTAAAATATTAAAAAAATAATGAATTAATTATCACGTTAAATAGAAAAATTAAGTAAAAATAGGCTGCCCACCCTAAAATGAATAAACATCATCATCATTGGAGCACAATCAGAAACGCAACTCAAGTACATCAAAAAGGCAAATGTTTCTCTGGTTTCCAATAAGTATACTGGTAGTTATATACATACAGTATATGTATATATAAGCAGACTGAGCAGTGTAGTATATCTATATAAGTATATATTATGTGGATATTTATATATTTATATATATGTACTTTGTATATTTATAGGCCTATTTACCCATCTGCATTATATGTTTAATGTAAGTGTATTGTATACAGAACAATAGATCAATGCTTCTCTAATCAATTATTCTTTTTTAACATTTCTTTTCAGGCAATGTTGATATAAAAGATATTTTTATATATTTCTTTCTTATATTTCTCAATATAAAGCTTATTGTTGAATAAAATATATCTGGGAAAATATAAGGTCTAATTAGATAGATCTCAGTATAACAATACTGTGAATCTTTATCCATCTTTGTATCCTATTTTGTTTTTGTATATATGAAATCTGTAAAAATGGATTATATCTGTAAATTTATTAAGAATGTATCTGTATATCCAAGGTATAGTGTATATATAATTTACATGCAAATATACCCTGTAAATGTATCAGAATTGTATCTGTACATACACTGTCAATGTATCTGGGTTGTATCTGTCAATACACTGTAAATGTATCTGGATTGTATCTGTATATACTGTAAATGTATCTGGATTGTATCTGTACATACACTGTGAATGTATCTTGATTGTATCTGTATGTACACTGTAAATGTATCTGGATTGTATCTCTATATACACTGTAAATGTATCTGGATTGTATCTTATATACACTGTAAATGTATCTGGATTGTATCTGTATATACACTGTAAATGTATCTGGATTGTATCTGTATATACACTGTAAATGTATCTGGATTGTATCTGTATATACACTGTAAATGTATCTGGATTGTATCTCTATATACACTGTAAATGTATCTGGATTGTATCTGTATATACACTGTAAATGTATCTGGATTGTATCTGTATATACACTGATAATGTATCTGGATAGTATCTGTATATAAACTGTAAATGTATCTGGATTATATCTGTATATAAACTGTAAATATATCTGGATTGTATCTGGTATTTGCAATACATACTAACCAATGCATAATAGATAAACCCGTTGTAAAACAAATATCTTGAAGGATAAAAATAAAAAAGGAATGAAAGTATATTACTAAGAAAGGAATGAAAGTATATTACTAAGAAAGGAATTAAAGTATATTACTAAGAAAGGAATGAAATTATATTACTAAGAAAGGAATGAAAGTATATTACTGAGAAAGGAATGAAAGTATATTACTAAGAAAGGCATGAAAGTATATTACTGAAAAAGGAATAAAAGTAGTATATTACTAACAAAGGAATGAAAGTATATTACTAACAAAGGAATGAAAGTATATTACTAAGAAAGGAATGAAAGTATATTACTGAGAAAGGAATGAAAGTATATTACTAAGAAAGGAATGAAAGTATATTACTAAGAAAGGAGAGGATTGGGAATCTTTACGAAAGAAAAAAGTGAAAACAAAATTCAGCTCTTAGAGAACCCTGGTTTTTCATCAAAAAGTCAAATTATTCTATCTGTAAAAATGCATAAAACTAAAAATATTTTCAATTAGATTGCAGTAAAATGTTGGAGAATCATACATTTCATGACATTTAAATATTTATTTTCTGAAAACATGTTTGAAAATTCCTGCGGTTTAGACAAAAATTAGTACTTTTCCAATTTCAAAATGTAAAAAAGAGGAAAGGGCTATTATAAGAATAATTTGAAAAAAGAAAAGATTTTGAATGAAAATTTTCCTTGAATATTTATTTGTTGTTTATCAGTTTTAATCCAGCTGGTTGAGAGTTCTAGCCCATCTACTGAACTATTCACCGATCCAATAGTTTCACTGAAAATATAATTATTAGATTTTTTATTTGATTCTTTATGGACTGAACTCAAGTATTCACTTTAAAAGTGAGAAATTTTGGTAGTTTTATTATATTTTTTTCTCTTTACAGAAACATTGAATAGAAATTATTTAAAAAATATTTATTTGATTCATGTGGTTTATCTTCTTTCTCTTTTCGTAAGCACTCCATTTTTAGAAAGTGGAATAGAATAACACCCCTTTAAATTCAAAAAAATATTTAAAAGATGTAAAAAATGAAATAAATGCAGAATACTTTGCACTTGGCACTAGGCTAGCAACTTCAAAAATGCATTTTGTCTCGACTGCAATGTTACAATATACAGAGTTCATGTATCGTATGTTTGTCTGTATGCAATATACAGAGTTAAGGTATCGTATGTTTGTCTGTATCCAATATACAGAATTCATGTATCGTATGTTTGTCTCTATACAATATACAGAGTTCATGTATCGTATGTTTGTAAATGGAAATCATTGGTTACAATAGGCAAACAAATTTTACATCATTATCGTTATTTTATCTTTTTTTTGTTTTTGTTTTTTAATTTTTTTGTTATATTTTTAGAATCGTAGCTGCGTAAAATATAAATAGACTTCTGAAGATTCAATTTCAAAATCAGTCTTCTGTGAACTTTCTTATTATATGTAAATTTATATATATTGCTTGTTTATCTGATGGTTTGTCAGTTGGTGTTAAAAAAACGTCAAAACTACGAAACTCAAAAAGGCTCAACTGACCGGGTCAACTTTTTTGTGGTAACTCACAACACCCAAGGGAAGAATAACTGTAGGTCTAATTAAAAAAATGGTCACAAATCATTTGAATATTAAAAAATGGAAAAATGAAGAAAAAAAAGAGAAAGTTTGCGAAATTTTTAATATTATTGTTTTTTGTTGAAAACAGCTGAACCGACCGGGTTGAATTTAAATTTTGATTAAGTCTGTAAAGATAAATGAACAATTGCTTGTGCTTTGTAAAGAAAAAAGCGCTCTGGAAGCCTTTTATTTCTAAGCTGGTATTAAAGGAAGGGCCCTGTTTGATGGTATGTGTTTTATGCCTTTTTAAAGAATATTCTAGTTAGATCTTTTAACTCCATCAATAAACATTCAGAAGAGGAAATAAAATTTTAAACTGTCAAATATATAAATGGTAAAATTTCTTTTATCATGTAAATGTCACTTTAACATCCTACATTGAATAACGTTAGATTCATGTGGTTGACTTTTGGAATAAATTCATGAAGTTGATTTTCGGAAAAAGTACGTTTTGTGAGGTTGATTTTTGGAATGCAAATGTGGTTGATTTGTGGAATACATTTTGTGAGGTTGATTTTTGGAATTAATTCTAATTTTTACTGAGTAAATGCAGTTGAAAATATATCTTTACGATTCAGATTTTCGTTATGTATAAACTCATCAAATTCATCTTATAAACGAGTTTATGATTTGATATTGTTGATATTTAAAAAAAAAAGTGTTTGTAAGAATGAAATAACTAGGGCAAAAATTGAATTGTTGTGGAAACCACCATCGATATAAGAAAAACAATCAAATAAACCATTTAAAAAAATATTACTTATTTTCAAAAATCAAAACAGAAGCAAGCTATATGATAAATTATATTAAAAATAAAAAAATGCAATATCTGCTTTATTATGGAGAGGAATTTTATGAAATATTTCTTAAAGTAAAACATAAGAATAGTTTTTATAATCATAATGCTAGATTCAAAACGATATATCTCTAAAACCTTTATCTGATTAATAATGTTAAAGATATCGCTGTTTTTCCTGTGTTAAAAGTGTTTAACTCTGACAATTTCCATATATTTCCCTGCAGTAGAAATGAGCAATTGTAGAGAACCCACAATTGAAAATTATTAGTTTTCAAACACAGATATATATATAATTAACACCATAGATCAATCAAAGTTTTAAGGGTATCGTTGTGAATCGGGCATTTCCAAATTTCCATGCAGGGTCAGTTAAAATTCCGCGTACCATTCCTTTAAATGACGCTAATCTACGCTTCTTAAACTCGATCATCACAATTGAAAATTTTAACTAACCGCTCAGTGCCTCATAACTTGTTTCTTAGACTTCGCGATATACTGCTCCCTCAAATATATCAAGGATTTAAAACAATCAGAAGGAACACAAAAAAAAAATTCGAATCAGGGTGTCTAATGTGTCTCAAAGCACAAACTACGAGGAATATATCTATCGCTGGCTGAGTATTAACTACTAAAAAATCTTCATAGGAAAAATTGTTCTAAATCTAAACTTGAAATAAAATTCGAGAAATGTTTTCTCCGAAATACATTTTACGGCTCATAACCATGCGAGAAACGGTAGAATCTAAACCTAAAGAAATGTATATTTCATAAATCAAACTCACCTCTGAAAAGATAGAAGGTTACGGTTTAGTTTGAGAACGCAGAGACTGCTTAATCCAACAAAAGTCGTCTTTTCTAATCTCTTCAGCTTGTTCTCGCTAGAATATTACATATTCAAAGTTTATTGATTCAAAATATTCATGCTGGAGCTGGTTTTAAATGTTAAAACTCAAATTGTTGAATAAAATTTCGTCCAGCATTTCAAGCAATTACTTGAAGGGGCTGTCACCTTTAAAGCTTTCCATGCATGATTCATTACAATACCCTTTAACCCTTATTTGGACTAAAAACAGGTTAGATATCGTCAGTTTTCTGCTTTAAAAGGTGTACATTTTTGTAATGTCCTTTCTATGATGCAAAAATCCCACATTGACTTTTTTGTAGAAAACCGCAGTTAAAATAATTTAAAGGTGTGTTGGCGTAGAGGGTGTCATTGTGAATTGGACATGCAACTTTTAATTTAGAGAGTCATTTAAATTACGTGTACAGTCTACAGTGGATAAGTATTGAGGGGATTTGTTGTGGCTTGTTTTACCTGAGATCTAGGGTCTGCAGGGCATTGAGATCACTGAACAGATTTTCAGAGAGCTGAGCCAAACTGTTCGTACTTAAGTTCAACACCTGGAAAACATTTTAAAGATTAATCTTTAAGATTACAAAATCCGAATTTTTTAACGAGAGGGAAGTGCAGTTGAACTAGCTAGACAACTAGACGCGCAGCCGAACTAGGAACTATTTATCACTTTAAGATATGCTGTTTTATTGTTGGCTAAATTACAGGTTTACCCACCAAGAATGAGCCTTTAGAGACGACTGTACGGAATTGGTTCTTCATTATTCCAACTATCCCTTAAATATGAAAACAACTGAACTTTCTTTACAAAATCATTTATTAAACTTACAGAACAGGCGTAGTATAGAACCAGCACTGACGCGTACCGGCGTCTAACAAACCGGTACGTGTCGTTTGAAAGTGCTCAATGCCGCAACGTTTATGTTAAAATTCATAATTTTCCAAAATAAATAAGTCTAAGTTCTAGCCACGCTCCCTCCCCGGAACCACTGGACTAATGACGGTGGAGGGTTTTATTGCAGACAATAATGTGCACAACATATACAATGACCCCACAATCTACAGGTTGATTGATTGATTACTTAGAAATATATGCAGCTGTATGATTAGTAAATCCCTTTCGAGCCACTCAGGCAGGGCGGTCCGCGTCAGTGCTGGTTCTATACTTTATAACCTGTTCTGTGATCAAACCATTAAAAGACCAGATTAAAGGCAGAACATCAAATCTAATATTCATTTCCCCATATTTGAAGAGATCTCAATGCCCGATTTCAGTCTCATCCTTTGTGAGCAACCCTGCACAATGCAAATGGTTCTTAAGATAAAGCCCGCCCCCCCCTTATAATATGAACTTTTAAGATTTGTTCTAAGGTTTTTAAGTGAGCGTTAATTCAACATTAATAGATAAAAGAGAAAACTTATTTCAACTTTAAAACCATTTTAATTCATTTTATTTATAACCATTTATTTCAAAGAATTTTACTAAAAGATTTCTAAATACATTATTTTCAATTTCACGTTTCAAGAAGATTGAAAATGAAATATCTGTAATTGGATTCTTTAAAGGAATTCAGGAAGGCTCTCTTTAATGTTCTTGTAGGACAGGGGGGGGGGGTAATTATTTATCAGTATCTTTATTTGTACTTACTTGAAGTTGTTTCAGCCCAGAGAATGTTAGATTTGATATTGATGTTATATTATTTCTGAATCATTATTATTATAAACTTTTTTGTTGTCCGCGACCATTAAAATTATCTATTTATTTCTGTGCCATTATTGTTATATTTTCTTTTTAGTTTAATTCCGTTGAAATCATCAGCTGCCTATCCCCCCTCGCCCCCCTCCCCCTCACGAATTTAAATTTAAATAAAACAAAGATCTTGATATTTACAAAAAAATGTTTTATTAATTTTATTATAACTATTTATAACACTGTTAATTTGGTTCGCAGTGTTATAAAGGCGAGAACCTTTGAGATTTAGAGAAAATTTAAGGCCAAAAACTTTATAGCACGTCGTGGCAAAATTATAGTTTTATTGGTGATTTTATGAAACGTTTGAATACTTTCAATTGCTATTTCTAGATCAAATAAGCTTTGAAACAAAGAAGAAGTCAAAATATAAAGTTGATTTCCATTTTATTTTCATCTCAATTGAAAAATAAATACTTTGGAAATATCTAAAAAAATTTGGAGAAAATCCGGGAACCAATCAAACTGTATAGCCGTGCTATAATGTACAGCTAATTTAACTTGACAGCACGATGATTACTTTGTTCATTATGAAATTCACGATGAAGTGAGGAAGAATGATAGAGTAAACAATAGTTTCATAAAAAATTATTTGACCCGGAAGGATCTTAATGTCAATATTTGTGGAAGGCGGGGCTTTCCTTTTATATTATGTGAGAGCCAGGGGACACCATATTGTTTATATAGTCTTTTAAAGGAAACGTTCACCAATTTTAAAAAGGTACAGAAAATAAAACTTTGTTAATATATAAACTAAAATATACTAAGCTTTAAGGGCGCTAATTGCGCCCCCTTTACCTTTATAATTTTAGCTTTTAACTGTTGCTCTGAAAGTCGGTCATTTTTCAATTTTTAAGTTTTGGAGGACTTTTCTTTTCGAATTGGCGCATTTTCACAAAAAAAAGTCCGACTAATTTCCAGGAATTTTTTATCCAATTTTAATAAACCTTCCCTGGGACCATGTGAGGTCCCATACAAAATTTGGGCCCTATCAGTTCAGCCGTTTTGACGTTTATCGTTACAAACAAACAAACGAACAAACAAACAACCAAAGTATTATATTCTAGTTTTTTAGGGCGCTTCATGTCTATCTTCTATTTCAATTGTGAACACTTTCTTTTTGTATACATTGAAAAACAAACAAAAAAAACAAAAAAGTTCGCGGATTTTATAAAAAAAATATTTCGTGGTTTTTGAAAATTTATTGGAAAATTAAATTTTGTTGGAGGCAAATTTTTGAAATTCGGATCATTCATGAACCTTCCCTGGGGTCGTGTTAATTTTATTAATAATGATAATAATAATATTCCTGTCTAGTTGAAGGTTGACGAGGTTTTGTTGTGAAAGAAATATTTTGTCCTGAAGCTGACTGATTTGGTTTCTTGCTAGATCTGAAATATTCAAATTAATATTGATTTTCATGGATCCGTTTATATATTTATAGCAGAACAAATTTGTTAGTAAACCACATATAACTGTCACATTTGGAAAGAATTTGTACTGCAACTGCAAACAGACGTTTTAACAGTGACTAGAGGTTTTGGTTTGAAAATCACAATTTCCCCGTCTTTATAGTTAATACATTTTTAGTGTTTAATATTAGAATTCTGCAACATCAGTATGGTTACACAACCATTTCAACTCAGCATAGAGAACTTGCAAATTCATTTTAGTCTTGGTTGAAATAGATTTCAACATAAAGGATTTTTTTGGTTACATCAGAAACGAAGAAATCTTTTGATTAAAACGAAGAAATCTTTTTATTAAAACGAAGAAATCTGTTTATTATTAACGAAGAAATTCTTTGATTACAAACGAAGAAATCCTTTGATTAAAACAAAAAATCCTTTGGTTATAAATAATGAAATTCTATAATTATAAACGAGGAAAGATTTTTATTATAAACGAAGAAATCCTTTGATCACAAAACGAAGAAATCCTTCGATTACAAAACGAAGAAATTCTTTTGATTATGCAAAGAAATCCTTTGATTATGCGAAGAAATCCTTTGATTATAAACGAAGAAATCCTTTGATTAAGAACGAAGAAATTATTAGACTTTTAATAATGAGATTTTTAGATTATAAATCAAGAAATTTCTTGGTTATAATTGAAGAAGTACGTTGGTTGTCAATGATAGACGAAATTTGTTGTCTGACGTTTAATTAGCCGGATTAATGATGTCTGATAGATTGCTTCACGACCAGTTTACATATCTCTTTAATGCATGTAAATATAGTTAAACTTTTTTTAGCTATAAAATTGTTTATTTCTAAAGCTATAGTGGGACAAGTTCGAAAAGTATTGAAGAGTAAAAAAAACGAAGAAAAAAAGAGGAAATTTTACGAGTGATTAAGAACCATCGTATTTATAATTGATATAATCTGATAAGCTTATCCGCTCCTAGTATACTACAGTGCAGTATTCCCAATTAGGAAAATAACAAATTAATTTATGTAAATAAATTCTATCCGTCCTTCTACCATCCCTCATTAGTATAATTTACAAAATTCTTCAACATCCCTTCAATTCCCCCCTCTCTAACCCCCCTCCCTCCCCCTATCCCTTTCTCTTTTCCCCCTCCCCCTTTTGAATGCTATAAATTTGATACAAAAATGTACTTTAAGGGATAATACCATTTACTTGGTAGTGAAAACTATTGTCTTGTGAATCTTGGACTCAAACTGTGATTTCTATCCATCTACTCGGACCTGAGCTCAAACTGTGATTTCTAGTTTTCTAATCGGACCTGAGCTCAAACTGTGATTTCTATCCATCTAATCGGACAAGAGCTCAAACTGTGATATCTATCCATCTAATCGGACCAGAGCTCAAATTGTGATTTCTATCCATCTAATCGGACCAGAGCTCAAACTGTGATTTCTATCCATCTAATCAGACCAGAGCTCAAACTGTGATTTCTATACATCTACTCGGACCAGAGCTCAAACTGTAATATCTATCCATCTAATCGGACCTGAGCTCAAACTGTGATTTCTATCCATCTTATCGGACCAGAGCTCAAACTGTGATTTCTATCCATCTAATCGGACCAGAGCTGAAACTTCAGAATGGTGGATATCGAGATCAATGCTTGATCCTCTCTTTTTGCCAATATCAAGACTAATTTAGTCTTTAGATTAATTTCTAGAGGTTAAAGATGCGCTCTTTAACCTTTGAAAAACCGGTTTTAATTTTTGCGCATTTCTGGTGTTGATGGATTGATTGAATAATCGATAAAACGAACTTGAGTTTTGATTTAACGTTTATTAAGACTAACGTTCAAAATGGCTATAGTCCTCAAATGGGATAAAATATATTTTTAAGAAGTTAATATTAACATTATTAAATTTATTTTTGTTTAAATGCTCTAAAAGCCGACTTGTGAACAGCTGACTTTAGTTCAATCGGATATTAGTCAAATCGATAAAGCATCGTATCTGTCATTGTTATCAAACGTAACTTTATACAGTAGGTATCCAAAAAAGAGGATTAAGAAGAAAATCAAAAGTGTGTACATTGGATACTCAGATTGAGCGATTGGGATTAAAGATATCCCATTCTAAAGTTTTGAGCTCAGAGTGGTTTAGTTAATAAATACTCTTTGATTATACCCTGCCGGGATAGCTTTAAATGGGAAATAAAGCACTGATCCTCAAATTTAAAAGTGCCCACATCGTTTATCGAGATCAAGCATTCAAGTTTCGACCTCTGATCTCCTTTTTATGAATCCTAGAGGTGCAAAACTAGGTTATCTATGGTGTTATTTATGGTGTTATTTATGGTGGGGGGTGACAAACAATTCTAATTGTTTACTTCAGTTCTTAGGAAACCATAAAAATTCGACAAATATAAAAGATCAATTTTTTTTAAGAGATTGTTCGGGAAAAATGAAAGGAGATCTTAACTGATGATCCTGAATTGATTTAGGTTTTGATTACTTCTAATTTTACTTCTATCTTCTTTACAGGTAGAAAATGGTTTAAAAGCATCATACCCAAGAATTTACGGAGTTGCATTATTTCACTTGAACCGTAAATAGGTTCATTACGGAGTTGCATTTTTCCACTTGAACCGTAAATAGGTTCATTACGGAGTTGCATTATTCCACTTGAACCGTAAATAGGTCCATTACGGAGTTGCATTATTCCACTTGAACTGTAAATAGGTCCATTACGGAGTTGCATTATTCCACTAGAGCCGTAAATAGGTCCATTACGGAGTTGCATTATTCCACTAGAACCGTAAATAGGTCCATTACGGAGTTGCATTATTCCACTTGAACTGTAAATAGGTCCATTACGGAGTTGCATTATTCCACTAGAGCCGTAAATAGGTCCATTACAGAGTTGCATTATTCCACTAGAACCGTAAATAGGTCCATTACGGAGTTGCATTATTCCACTTGAACCGTAAATAGGTCCATTACGGAGTTGCATTATTCCACTTGAACTGTAAATAGGTCCATTACGGAGTTGCATTATTCCACTAGAGCCGTAAATAGGTCCATTACAGAGTTGCATTATTCCACTAGAACCGTAAATAGGTCCATTACGGAGTTGCATTATTCCATT